TATATTTGACAGGCAGAGTGGACAGTGAGAGAGAGAGACAGAGAGAAAGGTCTTCCTTTGCCGTTGGTTCACCCTCCAATGGCCGCTGCGGCCCGCGCACCGCGCTGATCCGATGGCAGGAGCCAGGTGCTTCTCCTGGTCTCCCATGGGGTACAGGGCCCAAGCACTTGGGCCATCCTCCACTGCACTCCCAGGCCACAGCAGAGAGCTGGCCTGGAAGAGGGGCAACCGGGACAGAATCCGGCGCCCCGACCGGGACTAGAACCCGGTGTGCCGGCGCTGCAAGGCGGAGGATTAGCTTAGTGAGCCGCGGCACTTGCCGAAATAAAAAGTTTTTTCATCCACTGGCTCGCTCCTCAAATGGCCCCCAACAGCCGGGGCTGGGCCAGGCCAAAGTCTAGAGCCCAAAGCTTTTTCTGGGTCTCCCACATGGACACAGGGGCCCAAGCAGTTAAGCATCTTCCACCGCTTTCCCAGGCACATTAGCAAGGAGCTGGATGAGAAGTGGAGCAGCGGAATCTCAAACTGGCGTCCATATGAGATACTGTTGTTGCTTAACCTGCTACGCCACAATGTCATCCCCTGGAGACTTTTCATTGCCACCAGAAGTTGGGGGTGTGTTACCAGCAATCAGCAGGTAGAAACCAGGGATGAATACCCTACAATGCTTGAGACAGCTGCCTACAAAAAGATCTATCTGGTTCAAAATATTAACAATGACAAGGTTAAGAAACTCTGGTTAGAGTTAAATCCTAAGGTATAAAAAACAGACTAGGGGTAGGGATCAGGACAATGCATAAATTCTAGGACAGCAGAGGCCATGTTCTTGTTTACCTGGAGAATCCAGAACGTAGTTAGTGCCAGATAAATATAAGGACTCAATATTTATTGGTGAGTGAAGGAATGAAATAGTCCCAGCAAGAAGTGTATCAAGGCTTGAAATGTAGCTATGGCGATAGTAGGTAGAACAGATTCAAGAGAGTGTAACAAAATATACAAATCTTATTTACTAAACAGACATAAGAAATGAACATTAAATCTAAAATTACTTCCAGGCTTGTGCCTTGGAATAATAAGTTTCAGAGAGTCAAACGTCCTATTTCAGACATTTTTAAGTTTGGAAAAAAATGGGAGATATTCAAATAGAGAGGTCTAACAGTTTACCTGAGAAAATCCAATCTTGCCACTACTCTATCTTAAATAATTCTGAGTTGCAGCAAAAAGTTCAATCAAAAATGAAAAAAACCCTAACAGTTGCAGTATCGCATTCAGGATTGGATCTTGGAAAAATATAATTAGTGAAAAAATTTGGTGAGATATGAAAAAGGTCTGCTATTTAGTTCACAGTAATACATATACTGGTTGAACAGTTTTGAAACACACAGTAGGTGATGGAAAATTATAACATCCGAGATAAGCTTCATGAAGGGTATACAAGAGTTCTTTGAACTACCTGTGTAACTTTCAATAAATAATTTCTTATTCCAAAATTAAAAGTTTACTTAAAAAAGAACACTATACCAAATAAAATTTCCATATTTGGGATCTGTATTAAGCATTTTGGAGTGTGCATTGTGGCACAGGAGGGTAAGCCACCACTTGGGAGGCCCACATCCCAAATCAAAGTTCTGATTGGGTCCTGGGCTCTACTTCAGATATGGCTTCTTGCTACCTCATCTTGGGATACAACAGGTGATGGCTTAAGCACTTGGTACTCTACCACTCATATGGGAAACCCAGATGGAATTTCAGGATTCTGGCTCTGCCCTAGCCAAACCCTGGCTATCGCAGACATTTACAGAGTGAACCAGCAGATAGAAGATAAGCTTATCCCTGTCTGTCTGCCTCCTCTGTTACTCTAAGTAGATTAATATAAATAACTTTTTTAAAAATTTAAATCTGTACTTTAAAAAAAGCTAAAACGTGAAGAGTTTTTTCTTACTTTTATTGATACTTGGTAATACACTGAGCAAGGACAGAACAAAGAAAACTTTTTAAAGGAAGCCAGGCAGAAAGTGGCAAAAGCAAAAGTACAAACGTTCAGATTTATTAAAAATGTTCATCTGGGGGCCGGCGTTGTGCCATAGGGGGTAAGGCTGCCGCATGCAGGGCTGGCATCGCATATGGGTGCTGGTTCAAGCCCCAGCTGTTCCACTTCCCATCCAGCTCTCTGCTATGGCCTGGGAAAATAGTAGAAGATGGCCCAAGTCTTTGGGCCCTGCACCCACATGGGAGACTCAGAGGAAGCTCCTGGCTCCTAGGTTCAGATCGGCACAGCTCTGACCGTTGCAGCCAACTGGGGAACTGAATTAGCAGATGGAAGACCTCTCTCTCTCCCTGTCCTTCTCTCCCCATATACCTCTTTTAAGTACATAAATAAATCTTTAAAACAAAATGTTCTTCTGATCTATTCTTGACCATAGCTTGAAATTATACATTGTATCACTACGCAAGAAAACTATTCTGCCCAAGAAACCTGATTAATTTTTTCTTCCCATCATCATCAACTTCACAACTTTTCGGCAACATCAAGACAAACTATTGTACACCATGGTGAAGTCGAAAAGACATGACACTAAACTATAACAATGTAAGTACAATTTGAGCAGTCCGATTTCTCTTTACTGATTACAAAAACTGTATATAAATACAACTTTTTAAAAAGTAAGCAAAATTGGATCTAGTACAGATAAATAAGAAATCTTAGTATAAAGAACTAAGATTTTCATGAAAATGTGAAAAGAAAAAAGTTTATCTTAATGTCTAACAATGAATGTTTAGCACCTAATTCTGTTACCTGAATCAATAAGCCACACTTCTATAACTTGATACAAAACCCAATGTATTTTTGTCACATATGGTACTCCCTATACCCAGGTCAGCAGTTATTTCCTGATCTGACCTAAAATATTTTAGCTGATTCTGAAAGTTGTAGCATCTTTTTGCAAAGATAATAACAACAATAATAATAACTAACACCTATTTTCTGGAGTAGCCAAGTGTTGTTATTATTGTTAACTTACTGGGATTAAAGCATGGCATAATAGAGTCAAACTGTCTGGACTGAATCCTGGTTTTACATCCCACTGACTGTGTGGCCTTGGTTACCAAACCTTTCTATGCTTCAGTTTCTTTCTCCATAAAATAAAAATTGTTCCTCTACTAAACTATTTAAGAGTTTAAAAGAAAATGTTAATGGAAAATGTTCAGGAAAGTGCCTGGCACATAGTAATTACTCACAAAGAAAACATTAAGAGGAAAGTTATTTACCATCAATCACTCTTAAAACTTTCATTGCCTACCACTGGGCTACCTGACAAATGTATTGAAAGAACATGCATATCATATTAATGTTATTATGTGGATGTGCAATTTTTCAGAGAGAGTATAAACTCTTCCCTACAGGAGAAAGATCCTATATTTTACCATTCCTTTCTTTCAGGAAAACGATTCTACCCCTTAGTATAATTTTTTAAGTGCAAACATACCCTACTCCTTCAAATCCTTTGTTGTTTTAATGATTGTTCATCATAGTAAAACTATGTATTGAAATTATTGTTTAACATGGACAATCCTGTTTACAAACAAAGGAACATGACTATCCATGATTACCTACCATGCAAATATCACATATGACACCTTTGGAAAATAGGTCAGAAAAAATTATCCAGAATGTATCAGAGACAGCAAGATATAAAACATAGAGTAGAGGATAGGATAACAGAGTATAAAATGAAAGTCTTCCATTTGTTTAACAGAGTCCTAGAGAAGGAGAGAGAGAATGGAGTGAACAGGTTATTGCAAGAGATAATGGCTGAGAATTCTTCAATGCCAACAAAAGACATTACAGATTCAAGAAGCCTAAAACAACTCAAACCAAGATAAACAAAAGAAGCTAACAGCAAGATGTATCACAGGCAAACCTCAGAAAATCAAAGCGAAAGAAAAAAATCTTAAACGTAACCATAAAAAAAGATCACCTTCAAAGTAGCAAGTTAGATAATAGATTTAAACCCAAATGTATCAACACTTACATACAAAGAACTAAATGCTCCAGGTAAAACAAAATGATCTTTATATTGGGCTTTTAAAGTCATTTCTATGTTTTTTTTAACAGTTAAGAAAAATAAAAAGATACCAAAAGCTTGAAAGTAAAATGGAAAAAAATACATAAGTAAACACCAAATACAAGCTGTATAAAACTATAATAATGACTATCAGGATAGTACGTATTGAGAAAAGGAAGAAGGAAAATTTGGATAAATGGAAAAGATAGATAACATTCCCAGATAGGTAGCAGACTAGGGGTGGGAGATGAGCCCATAATTCAAATGTGAGAGTCTCTGAAAGGAGTTTACTTAACGGTAGAGAAGCACAATACCATTGAAATATCATCATCAACCTCTTTATATTATCTTGAACAGAAAAATGATACAGCAGAGTTAGAACTGAGTAGGATTAATATTATAGTGTTACATAATATACCAGAAGGGAGTGGCAAAAAACACCAAAAATAAGACTATTTTGGAGAATGATGTATTAATCCAGGCAAGATAAGAGTTTGGTAGAAGTAGAGATCAAACGCATGGGTCTAGGAAGCATTTCAAGAAGAAGATATTTCTGCGTTAGTTTTCCTTCTTTGAGACTTTAAAAACAAAAACTGCACACTGCCTCTAAAAGACAATCCAGTGATTTCTGTTTTCTACCAGTATAACTATTCTGAATTATGATACCAATGCTCATTCACTAAATCTAACAATATACGTTTTGGTAAGGAATTTTTTTCAAAAATAAATACTAATGAGCTAATTAGCCTTTATAACACATTATAATACACAATTACATAATTATGACAAGATTAGAAAAAACTGATGGCATTAACGATGACTTTAAATGCTGACATATATAACATGAAGTACTATGATAACATACAATACAAAGAGAGTCTTTTTAATTTACAAAAATTCTTCATGAAGAGGCTACCAACTCAAACAACTCACCAATGCTGGGTGGACTACCATAGTTAATTGGTGACTCAGGTGGTCTTCCACAATGCAATGCAGCCAGAGCAGATCCTTTCCACACAACATGCTTGCAGCCTATTAAACACATATATTATTATGCATATAAAGATAGGATACATCAACAAAAAAAAGTGAGAAAATATCTATAAATCCTACTGGAAAACTTTCATACTTTTATTTGTGCGTAGCAAGGACTGTCTTCCAGCTCCTAATAAAGTCTGTACTCCAGGAACACTTTGAGGAATTTCTTGTTCAAGAAGAGGTCCCAGTCGATGACATATTTGTAGCAAGTGATCAGGAGCTAAATGTCTGTAATATTTCACCTGTTATGTAAAAAACAAAATATTTGCTGTACAAAGTAATGCAGTTATATTAAATATTATGTAATCTGCTCTGGCTAGTTAACATTTTGTTTTACTTAGGTGGAAAAGATTCATTTATTTTGTGAAACCATCTGAATAAAACCACAGAATAAAACTGCTACCCCAACAGTCATTTAATTCACTGATAAACAAAAAATGATAAAAATTAATGTATGCTAAATGTAATAACCAAAAAATAACAGATGCTGGTCAATACAAATACCAAGAATTGAAAACCCATGTACAATGACTAAAATAGTGTGTTTCCATTTATCATTTGAATTTTCAAAGATTTCAACCAAAAATGAAAAATCCAACTATAAAATATAAAAATGTTTGAACCTTTGATATTACAAAGAAAATTTCCAGAATAATTGGTAATTAAAGAGGATAGTTTATATTCTCATAACTACACTTAAATTAACATCTATGCTGAATTTTATAAATGTATCAAAAGCCATAAAAAAGGCAAAATTCCAACTGGTGCTTTAAAGAACTTTCAACTGTAACTACTATAAAAAGTTTGAGCACTTCAAAATACTGCTTAATTTATGCCAGCATTTAAATCCATGATATAAAATTCTAAGCCTTTTAGTAAATAAACAATATGCATGTAATAATCTAAGAGTTAAATTAGAAAAAATATACCATTTTATAGCTTTATATTTAGCTACCAAGTAAAAAATTCCCCACTTTTGGCATCTAAATACTGCAGCTGCTCTCAAAGTATGAAGAAATCTTTAAAAAAAAGTGCATGGAAAATGCATATGATGAAAAACTATGCAAGAATTTCTAAATTTTTCTGCATCAAAATACACTTGTATTTTAATTCCATTTTCCATGAACTTTATAGGACCACAGATGTATATATAATATATGTTGGGGCCAGCGCTATGGTGTAGCTGGTAAAGCAACCGCCTTCAGTGCCAGCATCCATATGAGTGCCAGTTCGAGAGCCAGCTGCTCCACTTCCAATTCAGCTATCTGCTGCGGCCCAGGAGAGCAGTGGGAGATGGTCCAAGTCCTTGGGCCCCTGCACCTGTGTGGAAGACCCTGGCTCCTGGCTTTGGATTGGCGCAGCTGCAGCCAAGTGGCCATATGGGGAGTGAACCAGCAGATGGAAGACCTCTCTCTCTAGCTCACTGCCTCTGCTTCTCTGTAACTCTGCCTTTCAAATAAATAAATCTCTTTTTTTTTTTTTATAAAAAAAGAATATCTTTCAGCAAGCTGGACATTAGAAATTCACTCTCCTCACAAATACGTTAGGTTTAGGGAAATAATTATTAATAAATTTTATCCAGATTAGTAGGAAATTAGTTTATTATTTAATAGAGTTCTAACAATTTAAATATTAAATTATAACCACTTAACCAAAACACTTATTAGTGTATTCTTAAATCAAGTTTGAAATTTGCTACTTATCTAAGTAATGACAATTTTAATATGAACTTCTTACGATGAGATTGATTTGGAGAGCAGCTAAGGAGTTAAAGTATTTCACCTTGCAGTATCTATTAGATGCAAACTGAGAAGACCATAAATTTTTTTTTTAAAGTTAGCTAATACTCAACCATCTAAGAGGAATCTGCCTTGCCCTTTACCATAATACACTTCTGTTGTTAAGAAAACATGGAGCCACAGAGTCAATTCTAATAAAGCTTACAGCAGAAATGACGTACAGTAGGTACCAATTAGTTTTTTAAAAGAATTTCCAATTTTATTTATTTATTTATTTGAAATGCAACAAGAAAGATCTTCTACCTAATGTTTGGTTACTCCCCAAAGGCCCACAAAGCCAGGACTGGTCCAGGCCAAAGCCTGGAGCACAGAACACCAACTGCTTCTATGTGTACTGGGGTCATCATCCTTTGCTTTCCCAGGCATGTTAGTGGGAAGCTGAATGGGAAGCATAGTAGTAAGAACTGGAATTGTCACTCCTATAAGGGATGGAGGCATCCCAAGCAGGGGCTTAATCTGCTGCACCACAATGCCTGCCTAAGTCAGTAAGTCTTGGTAGAATCCATACTTCTGGAAAAAAACATTATTGAAAAGTATGTATTACACAAATCATATACCATTCCTCTGATTTGTATATTCAAATAGCACACTGACATTAAATTATCAAAGAAATCCTAAGACAAATATATTTAACTATGTTTAACCCATGTTTCAAACTTACTTAGCAACAGAATTGCCTTTCCTTATTTGTATATTCACTCAGAACTTACTTTAGGACACAACAGTATGACTGGATAAACAGACAGAAAAAGGACTTAAAATACACTAAAACACGATTTTCTGAAATTTTATTTATACTGTTCTTTAATATTCCCCAGTAAGTTTTGACAGTCTGTTATAGTCACGTGACTACAGTTAATAGTATTATGGCTAATTTACCAAAATAGTTAAGAGATTTTGAATGTTCTCACCACAAAGAAATGATAAATGATATCTGTATGAAATGATGGATAAATATCTGTATACAGGTACTAAAACTGGACTCCATAAATATGTACAGTTACTGTGTCAATTAAAAATAAAATTAAAAACAATTATAAATGGAAATGAAAATTTTTAAAGACAAGCTCTAGAATGAGGTCTATTTCAGTTCTAAACTTGGATATGATTATTATTATGACTTCTTAAATTGCTCAAAAGTCCTTTTAAAAATTTTACAGCAACAAAATGAGGTTCACGTAGTTATCAAATGCAATTTTTGTGACAATCCTGTTCTAGCAAAACAAGGATGGTGAATCTAAAAATTCTTACTGTAAAATTCCATCCTTTAATAAAGTTTTATGAATCCACTTTGACTAAATCATTCTTTAATGATACAGATAGAACATTTCAGTTTTTCAAAGTCAAATTTAATTTTAAAGTTAGGAAAAACACTTTCAATCCTAGAATCTTCATACTTTCTATGGCTTTTGAGAATTAACACAGGCTGATTCCTCCACTGACAATCTTCTCTATCTTCACACCTCCATACCTCATTCTCCTTCATATTTTTTTTTTTTTTTTGGACAGGCAGAGTGGACAGTGAGAGAGAGAGACAGAGAGAAAGGTCTTCCTTTGCCGTTGGTTCACCCTCCAATGGCCGCTGCGGCCCGCGCACCGCGCTGATCCGATGGCAGGAGCCAGGTACTTCTCCTGGTCTCCCATGGGGTGCAGGGCCCAAGTACTTGGGCCAGCCTCCACTGCACTCCCTGGCCACAGCAGAGAGTTGGCCTGGAAGAGGGGCAACCGGGACAGAATCCGGCGCCCCTACCGGGACTAGAACCCGGTGTGCCGGCGCCACAAGGTGGAGGATTAGCCTAGTGAGCCGGGGCGCTGGCCATCTCCTTCATATCTTAGTCTATGCTTCACTGCCTTCCATGACTTATTTACACCACCTTTGCCCCCTTTTTTGGGACATTCTATCTCTGTGCTTTGGCAACACACTGCCCTCTCAAATGTTTCTAACATTTTCCAGTACTTATCATACACAGCATATTGTTCTTAATGTATTTTGAAACCTAGACTTCAGTGGGAATCTAACAATAGCTCTGTTCTTCTTCCCCCAAGAAATATACACTCAGGCCCAACCACCATATGCCTCGTATAGGGGTTTCATAAGACCTCCGCACCATACTAAAATTGCCAGTGGCCTTGTCTATATCCTACATAAGATGACAAGGGATTAAACTTTGTGTGTCTACCCAGTACCTAATGTGGTATTTATAATTAAGTACTTAATTTTAAACACATAACTTCTCTACTCCCCAAAAAACCAAATATCTGTCAGCACCTACCTTTGAGGTAGTAAAAAATCTATATTTTATATGGCACAATTCATTATTCTATTTTAAAACATTTTTGAAGCCACGAATTATGTTTTCAAGCAAAATTTTAGGTAAAATAAAAACACAAACACAATGAAAGTATTCTTACTTAAGTGACTTCAGGAAGCACATATCTCAAAGCCAGACCCTCCACTAAGCACCTCTGAGCAGTCCCTGAGGTAACACACTGCAGAAGGGTCTCTGAAAATAGTAGTAAAAATAGGCTAACAATGCTCTAGTACCCAGAAGATAAACTCTTCTGAGTCTTCTTCCCAACCCTCATTTTCTCAGCAGATGACCTGGCCTGCTTTATAGGATGGGGAGTGGAAAGAAGTATAGCTATTTCTCCTGCCAAAATCTGTAAACTGACCTATACTTGAACATATTCTGTCGCTTATTAATGTAATTGCCCTTCTTAACATCCAGGATCCAATCCTTCTGCCTTTGCCTTGAATCCTAACTTCTCCAAATTCAAAGAAATTCTATACTATAAATTAGTTCTCCACACTTGCTTATGTTCACTAACTCCTTCCTATTTATATCTAAATTTAAACAAGCTCACTTTGCTTCTATATCAAGAACAAAACTCCTACCTAACCTTTATAGTCATCTCTTCTGTCCTCAAGGACCCTACCTACCCTTTCTTTTTCTTCTTCAGAAACTTGTTTTTTCAATTGTCCATAGTCAGTACCATTTCCTCTCCTCAATCTACTCCAAATAAGCTTCCACCCTCATGACATCACACACACACACACACACACACAATAGCTCCCAAAAGTTTACCTTAATTGTTGGTAAACACAATAAACATTTTAAAAATTAACACATTTAATATCTCAATAATCATTAACCCTGTTGAACATTTCCTCCACTGTAAATCCTTTCTTAACTTCTACAATATTGTCTTTCCTCCTACATCTAACCATTCCTTCTAATTTCTCGTAGGTTTACCATCTTCCTTCCACATGGCCATTCAATGTTGAAAATCCTTAAGGTCTTTGCTCACAGATCCTAGTTCTAGATCCTGCTTTCCTCTCACTATATACTCTCTCCTTGATAATTTTTTTTTTTAAGATTTACATATTTTTTGCAAGGCAGACCAGAAAGACAAGGAGTGACAAAGAAAGAAAATCTTTTATC